GCTGCAAAGTTCTTTGGTGAGTGGTTGGTCTGAAATCCTTGCAGGACGCTGACTCTCAAGCTGTTGACATACTTGTTACCTACTTTAACAACTGTCAGAGAAACGTGATATGGGGTAAGGAGGTGCTTTTTTAAAATTGTTCATAGACTTCTGTAAAATGTAAGATAAATTAAAGTTATTATAACATTTAAAAAATTTAAAAAAAGAAATGCTTCTTATTAAAAATCCATTTGCCTTCATCACATGTAGAGGCCAAGCGCATCTGCAGTGCCACCTACTGGATGAAACGCAGTTATTTAACCAAACTGATCCATTCTCAAGAACTAGACAGTGTTTATGACTATGTTCATGAATATTCATAGCTCTTCCTGTAAGCTGTTAAATACATAGTTAGCCAACCTGTCATCATATCCAGTTATGATGGCAGTGTGTAACCTATATGATAATTAAGACTAACTGCTGTGTATATATTCCAGTAAATTTGGGAAATGTCTCAACCCTGCAAGATACAAACCAACAAATCAAAGCTATGTCTGACTCCACACTGTCACTAGACCAATGATTATTGTCCTAATTCAGGTTAGTACCATCCTGGTGGAAAAAGCTGGCTGTGACATTGGCCCTGACTTCAAGGATAGGCATATTCTTCTGTTGTGGAGTTTATTTGTGCTGCCCCCTCCACATGGAAATGCAAAACTGGCTTTCCCCAGAGACTTTCCAGACCTTGCACCATAATGTTCCAACAAATATCATTTGTAAAGTCCAAATATTCGTGAATATTTCCAAATCTAAGCAGATCAATTCCATACCAACACCCAATAACTATCATGATCACCAATACTAATCTTTCAGCAAGAAGTAGCCAGAATAAAAACAGTACCCCAATTCCACAGAGATGGAAGGGAACTTGGTAGTGGGGAATTGTAACCAAATATTCCCATTTTCCTAAGAAATAGGTAAATTTTTTTCTCTCTTCTTTTCTTTTTCCTCCTTTCCCCCTCTTTTATCTTAGTCCTTTAGAAATGCAAATTTCTAAATTTTAATAGCCTTTTACCTCCCCTTTCACCAGACATTCCCTACAGGGCAAGTTCACCTAACTATGTGCTTAGGAGTTCCAGAAAGGAAATCTCACCCACTAGGAGACTGCCTGGAGAGATAACAGTCAATTTACAACCCAAAGTATGCCTGCTCATGGAGACACCAGCAGTCATCAGCTTGATCACCTTAAGATAACATGTCAAGCCCTTACCTGCCCACTTGCCGCCACTCGATGTGCCATTAATGCTAAGCCCCCCCCAAAAGTGCTTGCTTTCTGCTCCAAAAGAAAAGTGGTACCCTTAGGCAGGAAGCCTATAACTTCTTCCCCTAAGCTAGCTTCGGAATAAAAAATTGCTTTCTTTATACCAGACCTCACTCTTATTAAATTCTGTTGGCAGCAAGCAGCTGAACCTGCATTTTGGTTATAAGACTACAAGGCATGCCACCTTGCCCAGCTAAATTTTAAAATGTTTTTGCAGAGATGGGGTCTCACTATGTTGCCCAGGGTGGTCTCGAACACCTGGCTTCATACGATTCTCCCACCTTGACCACCCAAAGTGCTGGGATTACAGATGTAAGCCACTGGGCTCTGCCTCTATTTTGGTTTTTTAACTTAACTTACTCCCCATGTAGATAGCTGGCTTTCTGGTAAAGCCCTTTAGGAAAAGGGCCAGGAAAACATGCAGCTTCATATTTAAATATGCAACAAGTAGGCAGACCTGAAAGGCAGAACACAGATGCCCCAAAATCAAGGATCTCATTTTGCATTGAATTCTGGGTCCCCAAAAAGAGGGGAATACCATGAAATGTGACAGTGCAATGCTTTTACAACACACTTCACTGCAGGGACATTCCCCCAAGATTGATGGGCAACTCAATCAGCCTGCTCTGTGACCAGCCCATCCCCCATAGGAGTCATATCCCTTATTGGGATGTGGGGGTGTTTACACAGCTTTTAGATACCCCAAAAGCACCTTTTTCCCCCTCCAAATATGCCACAAAATAAGTCGCACCTTGTAGTAACAACCATTCACTGTGAGCAACTACCATTAGCCTAAGAGTGTATCTCTTACTTAACTTGTATTATGTACACCAAGGCTATTTTTGCACAATGCAAAGTAATTTCTGATACCACAAAAAGCCAAAAAGATCAGGTAATGCAATACAGAAAAAACAGTTTTAGATCTGAGAGGACTATGTCCATTTACGACCCGGGATTACCTGAGGGAGAAAAGCAGTTTCTCCCAGAAAGGAGTCTGTGGCACCTTTTTCTTTTCTCTTAAGGGTTCTCAGGCTGTTAGAATTCACAATGTATGAAGATTAGGGTTAAATAAAAGTAACTTGAAGCACAATTTTTAAGAAAGGAAGTGAACATAGAAACCAAATGCATGGGCTCTTTAAAAAGATTTCAGTCATCTGAAAAATAAAATTCCCAAAAATAGAATTTTAAAAAGGGAAGAAAAGTATAAGGCCTTTTAAATATATATGTATACGTATCTACACACACAAACATACACACATATATGTATATGTGGGTGTGTGTATGTGTGTATATGTATATGTGTATATATATATATATATAGAGAGAGAGAGAGAGAGAGATAGAGAGAGAGAAAAAACACTGGAATATCAGCTTTTTAATAAGTTTATTTTTAGCCACAGAGCACTTAAAAAAAAAAAATCTTTCAAGTCTCTTGTTACCAGATTTTAGCCTGGACAACAGCTGATAATTTTGGCTTTTGAGTTTATTTACCAAAGGTATCTTTCTAAGGGTCTCAGTCAAGATTATGACTTAATTATAGTTGAACGAGTTGTCTCCAAAGAGGTAGCAAACAATTTTTACAAGATCCAGAATCACCCTAGAGATAGCTCAGAGAAAGGAAAATGCAGAACAAAAAAATCAGAAACTGTCCATGGAAGGAAAAGGGATCAATAAATGGCAAAAGTCACACAAATATCAAACCAGAAAGGACTCATTCCCTGGCTGAGTATTGAACCCATACTGCCTTAGTCAAAGGAGAGTATCTTAGCTACTAGACTACAGCATGGGATGCTGTGTTAGCCTGCATTTGCATTGCTATAAAGAAATACCGGAGGCTGGGTAATTTATAAAGAAAAGAGGTTTGATTGGCTCATGGCTCTGCAGGCTTTAAAGGAAGCATGGTGCTAGCATCTGCTTCTGGTGAGGCCTCAGGAAACTTACAACGATGATAGAAGGTGATAGGGGACAAGCACATGGCAAGAGTGAATGAGTGAGAGAGAGACAGAGAGAGAGAAGAGCGGTCCCGGACTCTTATAACAACCAGACCTTGCAGGAACTAAGAACTCACTTATCCCCAAGGGAATGGTGCTGAAGTATTCATGGGGGATCTGCTCCCATAATCTAATCATCCCCACCAGGTCCCACCTCCAACATGGAGAATCACATTCAACATGAGATGGAGAGGACAAACATCCAAACTGTATCAGGCGGTCTCCAGTGATCTTCCCAGAAGGAATCTAGAGCAGGCAGTTCTGAGCTTGCAAAAGATTTTCACTTTTAGGTCAAAACTGTTTTTTCATTCTTTTAATTTTATCAACAGAATTTCTAAGGCTAGCCATGACACTAGTATATGTCATTTTAAAAATTTTGATTTTCCCATTAATTATTTAGAATGACAAATGTATAAAATCTTTTTTATTTTCAGTGGTGTACTTGGTTCCAATAGCAACTCGATGCAAAAGGCTCTTGAAAGCCCAGGTGGTAATTTTCCAGGTTTTTTCCACATAAGCAAGAGATATTCCTGGAGAGGGCATAGAAGAGGCAATCCCCAGGATCATCAAAAACTTACTCTTGGAAATAGACTTAAAATAACAAAAGACAATGTGAAAGAAGAATAAAAACTTGGGACCCCAATTCATTATGCCAAAAGAAAAAAATTGTAAGAAGTTGCCTTGCCTTTTGTTCCTAAGCAGACAGCTGCAGATAAAAGGTTAATCATCTCCACAGGTAGTTACTGTATGTTCACCTTATCTTATGTAAAGTGCTGATTTACTGAGCATGAGATAAATTCCCCTATCTGCTCCTTTTCTCTTACAGCACATGGATTACCCTACCCACCTCTTTCCCCTCTAGTCCACTTTTTCCCTTTAAAAACTGAAGCCCTCAAAATCACCTTCGAGAAAGGCATAGACCACAGACTGTTTCTGTGATTCCATGTTTATTTCTTCCATGCATGTCCTTAAACTTGGCAAAATAAATTTCTAAATTGATTGACACCTGCCTCAGATACTTTTTGGTTTACACAACAGAAGCCCCATAAAGATGGGACCTTTTAAGATAAAACTCCCCTAAGAGCTTGACACACTTGAGCTGAAGAATGTGCTGCTTAAAATATTACATGTCTTGGACTTCCAGTCCTTTCAGTCTGGCCACCTGATATGAACCCCAAAATTCATGCCCTCCTCCTGGGCACAGTGGTTCATGCCCGTAATCCCAGCACTTTGGGAGGCTGAGGCAGGATCCAATCACCTTCCACCAGACCCCACCTCTAACAGCGAGCCCAGGAGTTCGAGACCAGCCTGGGCAACATAAGAAGATACCATTTCTACAAAAAAATCAAAAAAATTAGCCAGGCATGGCGGCACATGCCCGTAGTCCAAACTACTTGGGAAGCTGAGATGGATCACTTGAGCCCATGAGGTCAAAGCTGTAGTAAGTCATGATCACGCCACTGCACTCCAGCATGGATGACCAAATGTAATAGGACTAAAACTTACTCTACAAATAAAACTTATTCTATAATAATCTATTGTGATTTTGTCTTTAATGAAATTGGGGAATTGGAGAGAATAAAAGTATGTTTAAAAAAAAAAGCTATATTATAACTTTTATTAGATTCTAGTATTACTAAATGTTTTTCATTTTTTTTTCAAGTACAATTTCCATTTTATTTTTCTCCAGGGAATAGTTGTCTTCAATCTTTTACTCAGCTCCTTACTCGGGTTTTGGTGGGGGTCGTGGGGCAGCACCCGCAGGTCTAAATCGGGGTGGCAGTGTTCGGTCCTTGCGGGCTTCACAAGATCGATTCCTGACTACTTTGCTGTGCATTGCACAACTCACACAGTAATGTAGCTTCACACAGAGCTTGGGAAGTGCGTAGGCATCAAAGACGCTCGCTTCAGAAATATCCCTGACTGCTGCGGCCTCCACTATGTTTCGAATGACGAATTTCTTAATGGCCTTGTCCTTGGGCACGCATCGGGCACAGTTCGTGCAGCGAATAGGCTGAACATGGCCGCGGCCCTTTTTGGCACGACGGTTGTTCCTTCTTTCTTTGTCATTTTGGAAGCTCGCAGCAGAGAAACATGTTTTTCATTTTTATTATTTTCTATAATTTGAACTGAATTCTAAAATTTTTCCTGGCTACAAGTCTCTAATGTTTTCAATTTTCTTCTTCTTTCTTTTCCTTCTTTCCCCCATTTTTCCTGATTTGAAATCACTGAGAATTAAGCTGTGATTTTCTTAAAGCCCTGAGAACTGGAACTAGACAACTTAAATTTCAGCAGAAAATAACAGGAACCTATTTATCTACATAAGCCACATTCATACCTGCCTACTGATGCATACTTCCGAGTAACACAGCATGTATCAGTTTCTCAGGATGGTGCTCCTTTTTCTGTTTGTTATTTTCTTCTCACTTTTTCCCCCATTTTTATTTGACAGGACATGAGACTTCACAACCTGACAAAAATTAGCTTTCCTAACAACATGAAACCCAGTCATGTAGGAATAAATCATCCTAGTCATGAGATATCATGCAAAACCTAAGATCAGAGACTCAATTTCTTCTAAAACGCTTTTTAAAAAGTGGGAAGAAATGTTAAAGAAAAATAAAAACCCACACCCATTTTGCCAGAAGAAAAAAAAAAAATTAAAAGCTGAGTCATGCAAAAAGCAAATTTTCCTTTTGTTCCTAAGCAGATAGCCACAGATAAAAAGTAAAATATCAGCTGGGCATAGTGGCTGATGCCTGTAATCCCAGCACTTTGGGAGGCCAAGGTGAGTGAATCACTTGAGGTCAGATGTTCAAGGCCAGCCTGGCCAATATGGGGAAACCCCATCTCTACTAAAAATACAAAACTTAGCTACGCATGGTGGGAGGCACCTGCAATCCCAGTTACTTGGGAGGCTGAGGTAGGAGAATCGCTTGAACCTGGGAGGCAAAGGTTGCAGTGAGCCGAGATTGCGCCATTGCACTCCAGCCTGGGTATGGCAGGGAAACTCTGGCTCAAAAAACAAAGTTAAATATCTTCACAGCTAATGACTCTATGGTCACCTTATCTTACAATGAGCATGAAACAAAAACATAATTGCCGATTCCCCTACCTACTCCTTTTCTCTTGCAACATGTGGATTCAGTAATGTGACTATACCCTTCCTCTTTCCCCTCCAGCCTGCTTTTCTCCTTTAAATATTGAAGCCCTCGAAATTATCTCTGGAGAAAGGCACAGGCCTTCCTCTTGGGCTGCATCCTTAACCTTGGCAAAATACACTTCTAATTGATTGAGACCTGTCTCAGATATTTTTTGGTTTGCCGATTGATATGGTTTGGCTGTGCCCCACCCAAATCTCATTTTGAATTGTAGGCTCCCATCATCCCCATGTGTCGTGGGAGGGACAAGGCAGGAGGTAACTGAATTATGGGGGAGGTTTTTCCAGTGCTGTTCTCATGACAGTGAATAAGTCTCACAAGATCTAATGGTTTTATAAAGGGCAGTCCTCCTGCACATGCTTTCCCGCATGCTGCTGTGTAAGACGTGGCTTTTGCTCCTCCTTTGCCTTCTGCCATGACTGTGAGGCCTCCACAGCCATGTGGAACTTGAGTCCATGAAACCTCTTTTTCTTTATAAATTACCCAGTCTCAGGTATGTCTTTATTAGCAGCATGAAAACAGACTAATACACAGATCTATCTAAAAAATTTTCTGTATGCCGTGAGGGAGAGCTCAAAGTTGATTTTTTTTTCATACAGATATACAATTGCTCTGCTACTGAAAGACTTCCCTTTCCCTATTAAATGGTATTGCTGTTTTGATGGTGAATTTTGTGTATTAGCTTGGCTAGGCCATAGTACTCAGATATTTGGTCAAATGTGTCTGGATGTTGCTGATTATGAAGGTATTTTTAGATGAAGTTAACATTTAAATCAGTAGACTTTGAGTAAAGCAGATTATCTTCCAAAACAATCAGATGGTAAAGATTACAGTAAGAAAGCAGACCAAAAATTGCCTGGGGCAATGTTGAAGTGAGTTAATCAAAATAAAGACTGACCAAAGGGTTTGGATTCCTTGGCTCAACCTCCTGCTGGGACCCCAAAGCCTTTTTCACAAGAGACAGTAAAATGATCTAGGGGTGAAGTTCCAGAATCAGAACATAAAAATGCAAGGGTTGATAGGATTATGAAAGTTGGAATGTTTAAAGAGGCTTTATAAAAAATACTCAGATCTCTCTCACCTAAATGCTATATAAAAATTGATATATTTCTGACCAGGAAATGTTTCCTTTACCTAGTACTATAAAAAGGAAGGCATGTAAATCCACCCTTCAAGCCATATTAAATGAACATGCTGAATGAGAATCAAGGAAGACTGCCAAGCCTATAGAGTGTAGGGTAGAGGCTGGGTTGATGGTAGCAACACATTCTCTGCTCGATAGCCCTTTGTGGACTGTGTATCAGGGCTTATGGCAAAAGCCTATGAGCAATTCCCAATGTCAACTATCGGGACTTTAGAGAATTTCCAGCTGAGGAGCATTGGCTCCCGTATTATTGGATGTTAACTGAAGCTGCCCCATGACTGGAGGATATAAAATGATCTTGACATTTCATCTTGAAATACCCATGCTGTCTTTGTTGATGTCAGAGAAACAATCTAATGGAGATATCAGTGTCCGGAAGAGTTCCATCATGAAATGGAGATGGTTTATATAGGAGCATGCTACCTAAGAGTGCAAGGAAGAGACACTCATGAGCAGGGAGCCTATTTTTCCCCTAGGACTAACGCCAAAACTCTGTGAGGAGCTGCTGGATGAGGATGATGATGGTGATGATGATTATTGCTTGAGATGGAATCTCGCACTGTCACCCAGGCCACAGTGCAGTGGTGCAATCTTGGCTCACTGCAACTTCTGCCTCCCAGGTTCAAGCGATTCTCTAGCCTGAGCCTCCCAGGAAGGAGCTGCTGGATTCTATAGTGCCTGATAAACAGCTCTCGACTGAATGACCGTGTACTTGGTTTGTGAATGACAGTTCCAAGGTGAATGGATAACATTTTGTTTGGAAGACTGCTTTGCTGATTGTAGAATATACTTTTGTGTGAAAATTTACCTTTGTCTCTACCCGAGTTCTGCAAAATTTGGAAACTATTTATGAGTATTCCTATCCTATGGCAATATAGAATGTTTGCATCACTTCAGTCAAAATCTGTTTTCTCTTGTGACAAGACACTATTGCAGACACTGTTTTTGTAGCAAAGCTTTGACTGCAATGGCATATTTTCAAGTGTGACCAAACTGCTTTGAGGAATTGGGGTTGACTTTGTAGAGCTGATTTAAAAGTCCCTCGGAATACTGGTCTGAAATCTAGTCTAAGTAATTTCCTTAAAAGGCCTCTAAGATTTCCAGTTTATCTACTGCTCCTTGTGTGAGAGCAGGTACTTTCCATAAATCTTGTCCTTAGTTCCAGCAACTTTGATGTTATCATATCATGCTTCAGTTGTCCTACACATCCCTTCTGAATCATGCATACCTATTTCCTATGCTGTATAAGCCCTAGGGGATAATGGCATAGAAATCCACCGTCTTGATTTGCTGCTGCCTGAGACATAGACACGGCTTCTGTTCATAATTTCCTATTAAATGTGTCTTTCAAAGAAACTGGATTTGTCAGCCTCTTTCTTTGACTTCTTGGCTTCCTTAGACTTTGGGGACAGGTTTGCATAGATCTGTTCATCATTTAAAATTTATCCTTAAGTGTATTACCTTTCTTACCTTGTTGTAAATGGTATTTCTTTCTTTTTTCCTATTATATTTATAATTGCAGACTAGACATTTATTAATTCCTTTAGATTTTCTATGTACACAGTCATAACATTGGCAAATACGACAGTTTTGTTTCTTTGTTTCAAGTTTTTAAAAATCTTTTCTAGGAAATGAATATTTGTGGCCTCTCAAAGTTCCTATGTTAAAACCATAAACCCCAATGTGATAATATTTGAAGATGGAGCCTTTGAGAGGTAATTTGAACATGGGGACAGAGTCCTAATGATGGAATTAGCACCCTTATAAGAAGAGACATGGATATATAGTCATCTAATCACTTCCCCTAAGGCCCCATCTAAATACCATCACACTGGGGGCTAAAGCTTCAACATATGAATTTTGGGGGGGATACAAACATTTGGTTCGTAGTAGTTACATTCACTTGTTTTTGGTTGCTGTTGCTGTTTTGAAGATAGAGTAATTTTGGATTTTATACTGGCCATTGTTAATATTAGGCTGTGCAGACTCTGATCCTGTGTTTATTTTTTGTGATATGTTGATTTTTAAAAAATATTTTAACCAGCAATCAATGCAGTTAGGCTCAGGCCATAAACAATTTGGAAAATATTACCCCTTCCGTTTAAAAGCATTTGTGTAAGATCAGTTTTTTTCCCTATAAATACTTGAAAGGCTTTATTAGTGAAGCTATCTTGGTTTGGAGTATATTTTATGAGACAGTTTTCATTATGAAGTCAATCTCACTAAAAATTGCAGGACCCGTTAGATTTTCTGTTATATCTTGTTTTAGTTTTGAAACAAAGGTCTCTAGGTCTAAGTATATTTACTACATATTATTAGTCCATTCACATTTATTATAGTTGCTATATTCGGCTTAAGTCATCTTCTTGATACTTATTCTCTATTTGTTCTCTGCTCTTTGTCCTTTTGCACCTCCTTTTCTGCTTCCTTTTAGGTTGAGTATTACTTAGTGTTCATTGACTCTCTTTTATTGGCTTTGTAGCTGTTATATCTGATCATTCTTACTGCTCACATTTATTTCAGCATATGCCTGGATTTACTTCTCTTCCTTTTTGAGTACTTACTCCAAGACTGTTTCAAAGTGAGTCTTTGTATACCAAATCCTCTAAGGCCTTGACTGAGGATATGACTGAGAATATCTTTACTGTGTTCTCATATGTAAATGACAGTTTGGCTAGTTTACTACAAAGGATGTAACTAAGTACCACAAACAAGGAAAATTTATCTCACAGTTGTGGAGAGTGGTCTTAAGTTGTCAGCAAAGCCATACTTT